AAATGAATTACACCGGCGGCTTATACCCGCATATAGCCCGCCGACCGGTGTGCCAGCAAAGTCGTAGGCAAATGATATGGATTATAGACTCGTGCCGCCATCTATTGGACGCAATATCTAGTAGACTGATGTACACTGATTTAGAGTGATGGGGGAAAAAAAGTAAACGTCTGTTTTTTACAGGAAACAAAGCGCGCCGAATAGCCAAAAATTTTGTGCGATCATTTCGAGCAGCTGTCTGCCTACCTGGGTCGTCAAAGCCGCCCTGCAATAGCCACAACTGCTGAAGGGCCCGATAATACGGCTTGAGCCCTTACCCGAAGGGCCTATGTAAAGCTTTTTGAGTGGGGGCAGCGAACCTGTGTTAGTTTTTGCCGCGAGGCGGCGTTGGCGCGCTTCGCGCGGATATCCGGGCTGCAGATCGTCGAGTACCTTACGTTGCGTCCGCAAAGGAATACCCAGGTTTTTGACTGTCACTGGCACCAAATGTAATGTTGAAATGAGAGTTCAAGTAGAAATGATGAAGTAGATCCAAAACTTATGTATTAAACTGAATAACCTTTAATAACTTGCACACAATAACATAAGCGCGTGCGCTTTCTTCCGCGACCACACCAGCCTTCTATTCACTCCTACATCTCTGTCCTTTATATTACCCCATCAGCATATATATATATATATATAACACCTGCAACACACATGTTACAAGATAGTGCCTTGCTGCACTGCTGATTACAGATCACTGAGTAACAGTCTACAGGCTTGACACTTGACTAATATTCACGTCTGAGCCGCAACAACTGAGTTTCATGATGTAGAGATAATACCGTATAGATGGATTTCTATGCCATATTTTCCCCACGAATATATTCGCATTATTTTGTTTTACTAAACAGAAACAATGCTTTTCACAATTAGACGTCAAAGCAAACGTATAAAAAAATTGCACAAATGGCAAGTAATTTATCAAGTGTGCCTATGTACTGATACATGCAAAAATCTTTTATTATTGAATACAGAAGACCAGTGGTGCAGAACAATGTGATAGCAAATCAAATCAAATGATGTTGTCCTCATTCCTGTCTTTTTCAAGTGTTACCCTATAATTCATTTAGATTTTGTTGGATAAGTTGTCACATGATTCAAAATGTATCGAGTAATTAGAATAATTTCTTGCTGCTGTTCTATTAATCCTGGAAGTAATAGGCTCTAGTAATTCTTATCAGTATGTTCGGAAAAAGAACTGAAAACAATTCCACGTCCTCGAAATTACAATGGTATGATGAACATATTCATACACGTGTATACATAATATTTATGAGAACATAAATCATCTGAAACAAGCAATAAGATTAAAAAACCATTTGATGTTGTAAAACCAAGAAATAAGATCATATAAAAAAATAAAATTGCTAATAAAGCGTAATTTTCTGTCACGGGTGACAAAGAACAAGTAAATGCACGTGATAACCACGGTGACTATAGTAACCAACCCATTATTGAGTACTATATCATCTCTACTTACCATGCCAAGTATTTGCAAATAATGTCAAACTATGCTTAAAGGGATAGTTTACTCTAAGTTCTAGAGTTATTTTCAGTTAATTTAAGTTAAAATTACGCTACATAAAAAGTTTCATAGTTCAATTACCATTATAAATATTATTAAAAAATGTTTTAAAACTAACGACTACAGTTTGATTACAACGACGGTGGCGCCACTCAAAGCAGACGATCTGATAAGTTGCGCAAAACCACTTTTCATCCAAGGGCTACAGACCGAGGGTGTTTCTTATTTATTTATTTAAAAGCAAAAGGATTGTAATATCTTATAAACGACATATAGTTTCAGTTATATTATGGATAAATTTGTTCTAAAATAAACATCGTTTAGTTAAATAGCATTTAGGTTTGAATATAATTGCACCTTTGTGATTAGCCCACGGTCTGTAACGTGCAAAATAAATTGGCAAACACGCAACTTTTTCAGGGTGGCAGCACGGTCGCGGGTGTCATGGCGCCGTTCAAATTTCGTAGAGTTGATGTGTAATTAATTATAACAATCAAATTAGGTATCTGGTAACAAGTACGTGTGGGTATAGACGATTTGTTATACAGTAAGTACAGTTGTATGCAGTAAAATCCTAGAGTCTACTATCCCTTTAATTGTGCATATTCTAGTTATAATGGAGCTATAGGACAAAAACTCTGCTGATTTGTCCATGTCTTACAACATGAATACAAATATGTTTATCTCATCAATCACTAAAAACTAGGAGAGTGGGAGGGCAAGATGTGTACTGTTATACAAATACATTGAGGCTGGTGTGAAGGGATAATACAGTATACTTGTAACTGTATTATTACACAGAAATAAACTGTATTTAATGTGACATCCGCTATGTAATGTAATGTTGCATTCAAGATGACACATTTTGACAGTTTTATAAAGTAACAGAATGATAAATATGTACCGTTTCCGTTTCCGCATTGCCGATTTCCGTCATGATGATTATAGATGTAGCGCGCATGCGCAGTCGTTGTTGTTGTCGTTGCTGCCGCCATGATTTATATTAAAATCTCACTACAGCTAAACTCCAGTGTTTGTTTCTCGCTTAAAGATGTCTACGACAATCTTAGCCCCGCACTACATACATGTCAACTGGCGACGAGGATAAAGCTACGTATCTGTGTATGATTCCGGTGATTCCAGCCCCAGAATTTGAAGTGTTTGACAGTTTAGTTCGCTCCTAGGTCACGCCATGGAGCACGAAGGACTCGCGCCATTCTCCCTCAACCCTTCTGACAACGTCAGTACGAGGTGGGAAAGGTGGGTCCGACGCCTTAATAATTTTCTGGTGGCAAAAGACATTACGGATGGTGGTAGACAGAGGGCCATGCTTCTGCACTACGCAGGGGAAGATGTTTTTGAATTGGCGGATTCTGTGGGTGTCCTGGAAGATGATGATTATGCTGCAGTGAAAACGAAACTCACCAGGTATTTTGCCCCCAAACGCAACGTGGAGTTTGAGGTATTCACGTTCCGTCAAGCGAGCCAGAAATCTGAGGAGACTCTGGACCAGTTCCATGCGCGATTGCAGTCGCTAAGTAAGAACTGTGAGTTTGCCGACAAAGGCAAGGAAATCAAGTCTCAGATAATCCAAAAATGCCAACTCCAGAAGGTACGCGACAAAGGTCTGTGTGAGTCCTACAGTCCACACAGACCGTCTACACAGACCACCACCAAAACAACCCCCAGCCCAGCCTCGCTGACTAATTCATGGAACACCTGCAAAACACATGTTACATTATCACCCCCTTCCCCAAGACGATGACTAGGCTGTCATCGATTCAACGTCCCCGCTGATCTACACTTCAACCTAAACCTAAACAAATCCATAAAAAATTACTACCCTAATACTTTCCTAACTCAACCCATCGAAAGAAACGTCTTTATGTCCGATTAAACAACCCACAATCAATACACAAACATAACAACAAATAATAACGCTGCAATAATTACTCTCACTCTTCCGTCTTTTTATGCTGTAACGTACGTGGCGTATGCGTATACCGACACGTATTACCTAAACCACGTTTAGCCATGTGCTCCATTCATAATCCTTATTTAAACCTCTTAATCCCATTATTAACACACAGCACCGATGTGGACCTGACAACCTTTGTCACTTCCACACATCATACAGCCAACAAAAATACGCAAAAACTGAAATTTCGATGAAATGTTTTAGGCCTATCAAACTCTAATTGAAGAATGTGTTTAGCAGTCTGACAATATAGCGTAAACGTACCGTTAGCACAAATTCAAGAAAACGACACATTTCTACACAAAGTTTCACACAAAAGATTTTCCACACAAAGACCGTCACGGTCACAAATATCTACCATGAAAAAGATATACCGCGTACATAAAACAAAGAAAAAACAGATAAAAATACACATTCTTGACGATGTCACACTTTCCCGTTCTCTGTCTCTGCTCTGCCAGCCTTGCCATCTCTGTTCTGCTCTCCTCTCTCTTTCTCTCTCTCTCTCTCTCTCTCACATAGGTCGAGACTCGGACTTGCCCTCGCAGTATCACGGATGCAACTCCGGCCCTTTCTTCCTTCACGCTGACTTACTCACATAGTTCTCACGCCGTGTGTATCCACCGTTCTCTCTCCCGCGTCTCGCTCTGTTCCTCCCATTTCGCTCTCTGCCATTCTTCGTCTCTGTCGATCGCTCTCCGTCGTTCTTCGTTTCTTCTACTCTTGCTCCTGTCCCCGTCTCTCTCTCTCTCTCTCTCTTCCTCCGTCTCTCTTGCTCTCTCATCCGCTCTCCGTTTCTCTCTCTCCAGTTTTTTTGCCAGCGGTGTACCCATGCAGCGACTCCTCCTGTGGCTTTTTCCTTCTCCATCTTCCTTGCGTAGTATGGCCCGTAGATCGACATAACGGATCCAGATGATACGGGATACTAGAGAAGCCTTGCCGAAAGGTGTTGATCCGAAGCGCTGAGCGCAAATCTTGCGCGCAGTTCCGTGGCAAGGCGCACGCGACCGCGGGAACGTCCTACGACAGTATGCAGCACTGGCAGCTATGGATCCGTGCGCCGAATGCATAGGCCGGCGTACGGATCCATAGCTGCCAGCGAACAGTCGAGAATCTTAGCGGGAATACAAGGAAAGAGCTCAGCTGCATTCAGCTGCTGTTCTTTGGAAGTTCAATGGAAATATCAATGAAAGTGTCAACACCTTTAACTTCTACACTGTGTTGTAGAAGTTTTATTATGAATTGTATTTTATTATGCGTCAGCGCATTCATGTAACGAGCGGCAGCTGCAGCGGATACATAAGCTGGGTTTTATAAATAATACATGCGGAAATAATATGCCTTTATTCATGTAAATAGAAATGTTGACCTATATTGTCGTTGTTGTTGTCGTTGCTGCCGCCATGATTTATATTAAAATCTCACTACAGCTAAACTCAAGTGTTTGTTTCTCGCTTAAAGATGTCTACGACAATCTTAGCCCCGCACTACATACATGTCACAGAGCTAGTAGTCATTAGACAATAATACACCACAATGTAACTCCCTTTTCTATTGGTTTCAGATTGAGTCCCATCATTTGTAATCTGTATTGAATAAAGACTGATTTACGAAATGGACGTGTTCCTATCTATGATGGAACTCATTGACTGGTAAAGCCGCTTCTATTGCTTGACAACTCCCTGAACTCACAACACGATGCCGGTTATTGACTGCCCCATCGACGAGTGCGAATACGCCACCCCGGACGTCGACACGATCGTGGCAGCAGCTCTCATAACGACTCACGCCACCATTCATAACGCGACCACCCACAGTGTCCCCACTGCAAAGGTGGAAAGGGTGAAACAACCAACTATATCTTCCGCCGGCACCAGCGAAGACTGGTCCTACTTCATATCGCGATAGAATGACTATGTTGAAGCGACTAAAGTGTCAGGCAAGGACAAGTTGATCCAATTATGAACACTTAAGGAAAGACCTCACACGCAATGCCGGTGGCACGTTGGCAAATAAATCTGAAAGCGACGTATTGAAAGACATTAAAACACTTGCTGTAAGGGAAGAAAACACCATGGTTGCACGGGTTACCCTGCATAACATGCGCCAGGACCGCGACGAACCAATCCGTTCATTCGGCTCTCGCCTCCGTGGTCAAGCTAGGGTATGCAAGTTTATCATAACGTGTCCTGGTTGTTCAGACGACGTGAACTACACAGAGGCTGTACTCCGTGATGTGTTGACACGAGGCCTGGAGGACACCGAAATACAACTTGACCTACTCGGGGACAAGAACCAGGAAATGACTCTTGAAGAAGTGTCTCAATTTGTTGAGGCGAAAGAATCGGGCAAACGCTCCGCCTCGCGTCTAATCGACCCACACACTAATGGTGCCGAAGCAGTCAGCAGCTCTTACAAACGTGGCATAAACGATTCTCTAAAAGATCGCAGTAGGTATGACAATACGAATATTGACAAGTCAGAATTGTGCTCATACTGCGGTAAAAAAGGCCACGGAGTCCGTAACCTCGCCAAGGTTAGACAAAAAAATGCCCTCCGTATGGCCACACATGCCAACACTGTCACAAGAATTGACAGCATGTGCAGAGGCAGAAACAAGGCTAAGTACAAGACAATGGCAAAGTTATTTGATGAACACGAAGGTGATCTATTCGACCAATTGTGCTCAATCACTACTCCTGCTCGACACAACGGTGGAAATATAACTCTCGACCACCACCTTTACAACCAACTATCAGACATTTAGAAAAAGCAAAAGTCCAAACCTCAGCCGTTCGTTAACCTCACAGTGGGAGCACACCCTAAAAACTACAAACGTCTTGGTCTCAAGCTCACATCCACCACCCAGGTCGGCCGTCATTCCTTCAATGGCTGACACTGGTTGCCAAAGTTGCCTGGCGAGTATCAAGGTCATCAATCGGCTCGGTCTAAGTAAGGCCGACCTCATCCCCGTGACATTGCGGATGAATGCAGCCAACAGCTAAGGCATCAACATCTTGGGCGCAGCCATCCTACGTTTTTCTGGCAAGGACACATCTGGCAATACGCTTGAGACACGCCAAGTTACGTACATCACTGATAACTCAGACAAACTCTTTATCAGCAGAGAAGCTTGCATTCGCCTAGGCATGATCAGAGACACATTCCCAACCGTAGGTGAAACCAGCAACGATCAGGCGGCACATTCTGGTAGTGATGACCACCTAGCTCGTGACGAAAATGACAGCGGGCTCGCGACCGAGTGTGAATGTCCTCGACGCCAGCTGCCGCCCCCACCACCGTCGAGTCTACCATTTCCAGCGACTGAAGACAATCGAGAGGAGCTGAGACAATACCTTCGTTACGAATCTAGCACATTCAACACGTGCGAACACCAACCACTGCCAATGATGGAAGGCTCACATGGAAGGCTACATCTAATGGTGGACCTAGATGCCGAACCCGTAGCAGTACATTCTCCCGTGCCTGTACCCATCCATTGGCGAGACAACGTGAACGCTGGATTAGACAGAGACGTACGGCTTGGCGTACTGGAACCAGTACCAGTAGGTGAACCGGTGACATGGTGCCACCGCATGGTCGTTTGTGCGAAGAAAAACGGCAAGCCGAGACGGACAGTTGACATGCAACCACTTAACACGCATGCAACACGTGAAACCCACCACACACAGTCTCCATTCCACCAAGCGCGGTCGGTCCCACATGGGACGGTAAAAACTGTTTTCGACGCGTGGAACGGCTACCACAGTGTACCACTCCGGGAAGAAGATAAGCACCTTACCACCTTCATCACACCTTGGGGAAGATACCGTTACCGCACAGCCCCACAGGGCTACATTGCATCAGGCGACGGCTACTCCAAAGGATTTGACGAAATTGTCTCGGATGTCCCATTCAAAACCAAATGTATCGACGACACACTACTCTGGGCCGACAACCTGGAGGAAAGTTTCTACCAGGCATGTAACTGGTTAGATATCTGCGGCAGGAACGGGATAACCCTCAACCCTGAGAAATTTGTATTCGGCCAGGCCACCGTTACATTTGCCGGGTTCGAGATTACACCAGACAGCGTGAGGCTTTGCCAACAATTCCTGCAACCGATCATGGACTTTCCAAAACCAAGGAACATCACCGACATTGGTTGTTGTTGATTACATTGACGACGCTCTTGGTTCGGGTGTCAACCAGGTGTCATACGACTTCAGCATGACAGAACTGATGCTTCCATTCCGCAAGTTCCTCAAGCCTGGAACAGCATTCCACTAGGATGATCACCTGACAAAATTACTTGAAGAATCAATGCTGGCGATAGTGAGCGAGATAGAAGAGGGCGTACGAATCTTTGACAATCCTTGCCACAGACTGGTCCAAAGTCGGAATAGGATTCTGGCTTTTCCAGAAGCACTGCACCTGCGTTAAGAATTGTTTTGTTGTCCTAGTGGATGGAGAATAACACTGGTAGGCAGTCGCTTCACCCACTCCGCCGAATCACGCTATGCTCTAGTAGAAGGCGAAGCCCTTGCCCTTGCCGACGCATTGGACAAGGCTCGGTACTTTGTGCTGGGATGCGAGGATCTAATAATTGCGGTGGACCACAAGCCACTTCTCAAGTTATTTGGCGACAGATCACTCGA